TGGAGACACTCCCGCGCCCTGACCTTCCTCCGCAATTCCTCCCGCCGAATTTTCGAGATAAGAATGACGACGGTGTTCAGGAAAATGTGAGAAAAAAAATTATATTCGTCACGCGGACGTAATGTATTATACTATGTATATTGTGACGAAAATAACTATTTTCCAATACGCACGCTCCACTATACCGCAAAATGCCACTTTTTGTGATATTCGGTGGTTCGTCCTCTCAGTGCAATTAGTGATGCCGCGAGACACTTTACGAGACAAAACTTTGGAGAGATGATCTCGGTCTCCATGAATACGAAAATCTTTGCTCTCATCTCAGTCTCGAAATACGCAGTGTCGACTCCTTTCGCGATGATTCCGAGTCAATTTGTCTCGTCTCGTTCTCAAGTTTTTCGTGTTTTTTAATGTAAAGTCTCGGTTTTTGTCTCGGTTTGTTTCGTCTCGATTTTCTACATATAAAAAATGCGAAAAACTGGAAATCGAGATGAGATAAATTGACTCGAAGTAATCACGAGAGAAGCCGACACTGCGTATTTCTAGACGGTGACGAGACCAAAAATTTGCGTGTTCACTGAGACCGAGGCAATCTCTCCAAAGTATTGTCTCGTGATGTCTGGTGAAATGTCTCGCGGCATCACTAAGTGCAATAAAACAGAAATATAATATCACCAGTATCAACAGATATACCCCATGGAACTAGAGCTGCAGCCGGAATTTCACGAGTTCCAAGATAGGCTGATGACATTTGAATTATCGCGCGGCAAAAGAACCGGAGATCCGGATTACGACCAGAGAAATTACTCGGGAAAATTCAAGGTGGTACACTCCATCTTCTCCTTTTCCCTGACGCTTCCTTTCCTCAGACTCCTCAACTTGTACACATCACCCACCCTCGACCCCCTTCCCGCCTTTATCAGTTAAATCCTTCCTCGTTTGGCACCGCCATCTGTCTTCACAAAAAGCTGCCTCCCCCTCATCTAGTCTACCCCGGGGGCGTTAAATACTTGGAGCCTAGCCAAACAGCTAGAATATTCGGCTAATTTTAAACATGCCAATTCTGATTGAATTCACGACCGTTATAAATATCCTTAACTGTGACAGACGGTACAATATAATTGTTTAACGTTCGATCATTAAATTGAGACCATAAAGTTTAGACATTCTGTGGTAAACTTGGCTGTTACTTCTTCAAAGTATAACAGTACAAGCTGGAGTGGTTATTTTATTAAATGCTCATTAATTATTAAGTGCAAAAAAAAACACTAGAAATCAAATACTTTGAGCCATTATTTTTGACTATTTCCAAAATGTTTCGGGAGCAGAATTGAAGTTAGAAACCCCATGAATATGGAGTCTTTAACAACACCTTGAGAACATTTTACCTTCAGGAATTTTGGAAATATTTCGATGGAGAATTAATTTCGCTCCTTCAATTCCAAATTTTGTTCTCTCACTTCATATTTATGATGTTTCAGTCTGTGAGTTTCTTATCTACAATTGTTTGACGTTTGATAATTGAATTGATGTTGTTGCTGTACCTCTGTCCAAACAATTATTAATAACCGTCGAAAATATTTATCACCTGTTGAGAAGCCAACACTGGAAAAATAATAATGAATTACACCAATTGCACTTGAAGCAGGGTCAGATAGCGATATATCCCTGGCCACATCCAGACAAACTTGTCTGCAGAACAATGAGTGGACATGACGCATCGCACGGTCTCCTGGCAGACTATCCATCTCAAGCGCCAGTCAAGCTGCTCGTCCGCCTCTACGTCGTAAAAGGTGAAATATTTGTCGACAATCAATTCCGATTATTAATTCTCATGGCATTTGCATTTGCAAATATTGCCAGACGGATTTTCAACGGTAACCGACGGAAGTGAAGCGTCGGTAGAATAACCGCTTGTGGGGAGATCTGTGCTCGCCTCCCATATCCGTATTCAAAGCTCCACCGGAGTAATTTGATCGTTGCTATTGAATCCAGCGCCGGAGCACTATCTACGTCAAATTCCGTTATACTGCGGTAGACGGGATTGACATGGGAGATATGACGTATTGTTACCCACTAAGTGCACTAGATTAACGATTCTGCATAGCATTAGCGAGAGTAGCTTTTCGAAAATTCACACGATTCTATCAGCAAACGATACATTTTCGGATTAATGATTATTAATCGTTAATGCGTACTCGTCGCTACTCTCGCATTTCCACTCCAATGTGTTATTCTGAATTTATTTAGCCATCAATCTGCATCCCAGCGATCCACTCACCGGCAAGTCGGATCCATACCTGCGAATTAAATTAGGAAAAAGTGATATTAATGATAAGAAGAACTACATACCCAATCAGCTTAATCCAATATTTGGCAAGTGAGTTGGACTGATGTTCGGGGTTGGGTCATGATGTAATTGAAGTGGTATTCTACGTGATGAATGTATTATACGCACATGGAGAGAAAAATCGACAGAAAGTGGCGTCCCAAAGCGTAAGCCTGATACCAAATGTTTTTTTGGGAATATTTACTTGATAATTCAGATAATTCAGATCAACATCTTAGTCATTTTCTCATCTTCCGACACGAAAAAGTCGATTTCTTGTGGCAAAAAATTCTCACTTTATCATGAAACGCTCATGTTCAAGTCATGAACACTTCACCGAAATCTGACATTGTCTGACGCATTATCCGGAATTCTCATCCCAAGAAATTTATCTTCAAGAGATGAGATATTTGGCGCAAGAAATTAGTTTTGTGATATGACGATATTTCTCTCAGTGTACATATTATACATGAGGTGCATTCGTATTACACTTTACGCATTATCCTTGCCCAACCCTGCTGACATACAAGTACTTCATCACTTACGATGATCCAATTCTACCCAGATGCTTCGAAATTGACGCACAATTCCCGAAAGACCACACATTGACAATTCAAGTGTGGGACTACGATGCTACCAGCTCCGACGATCTAATTGGTGAAACGCGCATCGATATCGAGAATCGATACTACAGTAATCATCGGGGCCACTGTGGTATATCCAGAACCTGGAGCAAATCTGGTTACAACGCTTGGCGTGATCGTGAAAGACCAACACAGATACTCGAGACACTCTGTAGACGGAACAATTTACCCTTGCCAGAATTCACGGATACTGTGACAATTGGAAAACAAAAATTTCCATTCACAGCGGGACTGGAGATACTGGATGAATCGGGTAACGTGAGAAACTCAGCGTGTTGTTTGAAGTTGTTTGCAGTTATTTAGAGTCATCATGAAATACTCAAAGTTTCGTGAGAAATCTTTGAAAAACTTTTTGCACATTTAATGAGATGGAGTTTTATTGCACGTTGATGGGATCTTTCAACTTTTAAGAGAGCATGAAAACTTCGTGAGGATCAATAGTAATCTCATTTCAGGGAGGAACGAGTGTATGGCTCTCAATGTTCTCCATCAGTGGCAGGATTTTCCCGTCTGTGGACTGGCTCTCGTGCCAGAGCACGTAGAGCGACGATCGCTCTTTAATGCCAGAAGACCAGGACTCGAACAGGTTTGTTAAAAACCACTGATATTTTTCAAATCAATACTCCTCTATTACATGAAGCGATTCATCTCTTATTTGTAAAATTTCGTAGAATTAATACTTTTTGAATTTAACAATTAATTCTAGTGTTAAATTCAAGTGTTAAATTCTAGTTAAATTCAAGTGTTAAATTCTAGTTAACACTTGAATTTAACAATTTTCATAACAGATGAATAATAAAACGTAGATCAGAATAACGGAATGTACCATGATAAGAACATGGTCAGAGCAAGCATTTCGTTGATTCATTTTACGTATAATTGACAGACGGCTTAGAAGGCAGAGCGGGGCGCTATTTTATGAAAATGAAATAGAAATACTGCTCAAAATGGTTCAGTACGCGGCAATACTATTTGAAATTTATATTTCAAGTTGACTATTTCGGTCGGTCAAATAATATTTCTTTGTATGTCTTTTTGAAATTGAAATAAAATAGTTATTTGATATTTCATTTTAACGAAACAGAAAATGAAATAGTATTTACTATTTTATTTCACTATTTCACTATTGGGTTTTACATGAAATAGTTTTTTTTCCCCATGAATTTTTCACTTTCCTATCCCTTATCACCTTCATTGATTTCTCGTGGTGACGTAATCGCAATGAATTACGAAGAATTGGCGTATGTTATTTGCCGTGATCATCACTAAAGATGGGACTTTATATAGCGTTTCACATCTTGTGACATCACAGGATATTGTTGGATAGAATTTTGGAGAAGGTAGGAGGTCATTCATACTTAAAAAATTCATACTTATACGATAATGATTTCGTTCGTTACGTATTTGATATCTTGAAAAATTGGTGTTTCTAATTAATGTTTCTTAGTTCTCATTGTTGTTTCTGTTCCAATTTGTTCTCTAGGAAAAAACAATTTCAGGTAATAAAAAAAATCAAGTAAATTCGATGAAAATCAAATAGTACGTTCCTTGATCAAATTATTTAAATACTATTTCAAATTTGCCATATTTCATCGGTTGAAAGTAGAAATTATTTTCAAATTGTATTTTACCCAGCTCTGTTAGAAGGAATTTATAGATGGAAGACATCTGTTGTTCAGTGCCGTATGGACCTGAAAATCGAGAATTACTTGAATATTCAAGAAAATAAATGATACGTCAATGAAGAAATATACAGAAATTTCATGTAACTTTGTCGTCGTTAAAAATTTCACGCTTTCCCACTTAAAATTTGGAGAGTAATTTTCTAACAGTATACAGTAATTGCATACATTATTCGGTCTGAAGGTCACTTTAGCATTATCGAGATAATAATAACAGCTGCGAATTTTTGCGAGCCGCACTCGAAAAAACGTTTATTTAACACGGAAACTATGTTACACCTCGTTGAGTACTGTAAATCTTGGCTTCGACGCGATTTAAATGAATATTATTGCACACAATAGAACATCTCAATGTTTTCTACCGTTTTTCTCCCCATTCATTGGCCCGGTCAATTAGAGGCCCTGGCATTGATCGTTGGGGGGAGAGGATTTTGCTTGTCATCGGGTTTCAGTTAATGGCTTCACATTGATGTAGGGTAAATTGGAGCTCTGGATAGACATGTTCCACGTCGATGACCTTCCACCAAAGCCGCCCGTTGATATTACACCTCAGTCCCCCGAGGTATACGAATTGCGTGTGATTGTATGGAATACCGAGGATGTGCCGCTTGTGGACAATCAATTTTTGACCGGCGAAAAGTGCTCTGACATTTATGTCAAGGGGTAAGTTGTCATTTATGTTTCCACAATCCATCATTGTGGTTTTTAGTGGTAGTTAAATTTAGACACTCCCAGTGGAGACTCGAGTCGTTTAACCAGTGACCGTAAGCTTTCAACTCGAGCCGCCAAATATCTACGCTATATTTAAGGATGAACCGATTGAGTAACAAAAATTCAGCCAAAATTAGGAAAAAAATGCGGATTCAAGGCCTTTGGACTTTTAATTTTTTTCTGATATTTCAAATGACTGTACGGAGAGAAAAGTGGGATGAAAATTATCTAGAAAATTGTGACAAATTTTATTATACGAATGGTAATCGTAGAGCGAAATGTAATTCAGTGAAAAAATACTGGTTTTTAATAGATGTCTTACGATTTTCTTGGTAAAAAAATACATCTATAGATGCAAAAATTATCCTCCTGCATTGAGAGAGGACTAGTTATTGTTAACAAATGGATTTGGTTGAAGGCTACGGTCTATTTGGTCTTGCCAAATGTTCATTCGTTAATAGTTAACGAATGCATATTTGAGAAGTCTTGTTTGACTTGACTTTCACCTTCCAAGTGAACGATTCGTTAACTATTAACGAATATTTATTTGGTCATATTTAACCCTACCATTCATTAATAACTATAGTCCACACGCAATACGACCTTGCGGTAAGGTTTTGAGGTGTTTTCTTATGTTTTCGGGTATGAGAAATCCGAATCCGGTGGGATTTTTTATGTAAGTGCGTGCAATTAATAGTTATAAACAAATTAAGTGGTTTTTTTGATGATTTTTTTTTATGGGAAACATTGGCAAATAGAAGAAAATGTTCATGACAAAAGTTGTTCCTTTTTGTCTAATAAATAATTATCATTTTTTAAAATCAAAATCCATCAATCCGTTGCTGAAATATGGTCCACCAGGTGGGCGCGGGAGGATGCGCGACGCGCGAAGATGGGTGGGACGCTCGACGTCCTCTGAATGCTCATCAATCCGTCATTTTTCTCAGATAAAACGACCTCTACTCATGCATTGGTACATATAAAGGAAAACAAAAACACACAAAACACTAATACTCCAAGCATGAGAGATATTTATTTGGATTATTTCTGCGAATTTTCAATTCCAAGAAAATTCGGAGGGGACAGCTGCAAAAATATTCTTGTTTCTTCTTGTTTTAGTCAACTGACGTTTAGAAAATACTCCGATAAATCAGTCTTCCTCCGATCCTCGTAAGAGAATGTTCGTCACATTTAAATACGTGATTTTTTTCAGAGTCTCTTCGGGCCGGAGTATTGAATTAACTAATTAACTATTGAGTTCTATCAGTCGGTGACAGGAAATTTATAATCATAAGTTATTGACGAGAAATAAATTCTGGATGACATTCATTCTTTGTGCAGTATTCACTTTAAATTCATGGTGTGAGTGTATTAAAAATGTCAGGTGGGCGTTCGTTTGTCATGTTTAGAGGTCCTAGCACGCCATTTCTCGACCCACTCTTTCATCTGAGCCCAAAAAAACATTCATATCTTGTCTGACATCTTTGCTACAAACTCGGGTCTTCAACTCGGGCCTTCAATTGAAAGCCCTACTACTACTACTGTGTGTTTCACGCAGTTGAAGTTTCATACTACTGTGTGTTTCACGCAGTTGAAGTTTTACACTACTGTGTGTTTCACGCAGTTGTATTTTTATACTACTGTGTATTTCACGCAGTTGTATTTTTATACACCTGTGTGTTTCACGCAGTTGCATTTTTATACACCTGTGTGTTTCACGCAGTTGAAGTTTTATACACCTGTGTGTTTATACACACAGGAGTGTGAAATACACCGGAGTATCTGAATACCACT